AAATTATATTCGCGTCCAGTCCGAATATATTATCTTGATTATTTACCATGTAGTCCGCTTCCAGCGCTACTCTGCGTGCACCATAATAAACTAAGAAAGCAAACTTACTCCCTTTTCCCCTTACCACGTCTAAGCGGCCACCGCCGGAAACCCGTTACTCATTCGTTTTTGGTGCACTCTTCTGTGCGGTCGTTTCTTCCGTGCCTACGTACTGTACTCCGTTTGTTTTGCAGCGTCATCTGGTTCTTTTTGTTTTTTTCCATTTACTCAGCGGACAATGGGTAAACATAAAAGAGACAGATCTAGGAGTAGATCGTCGACTAAGCGTTCTTTTAACAAAGAAATTAGAGATCTCAAGAGGAAATTGGATAAGTTGGAAAAGGAGAGAGACAGGGCTAAAAGAGATTTTTCCCGCTTCCGCGAAAGTTGTTCTCGTAATGAAACAATTTCACGAGGGAATAGAGAATGCCGTTCTCCGAGTGAGTCGGATTCTTCAAGGCGGCGGCGGCGGCGCTCCAGGTCCCAACGTCGTTCTCCCAGTGAGACGAGTTTGAATCCCGGGCGCGACACTCAAGGTCGCCGTGAAGGTCGTTCTTCGAGTAAGGCGACTTCTACAAAGCTTCCCTTTCGAAGGGAACAAGAAAGCCGCAGCCCCAGCGTCGCTCTCTCTCTCTTTACTCGTACTGACACGAGTCGCGCAGCTAATAGCGCAACTATCGATTTCGTTGGACCTGGCGGCCGTCACTCGAGTAGTGCGGCGCTTGTGGCTAGTTCTGCTGATTTTTCTCCCCGAAAAGAGGAGTCTCCTGCTCTAATCTTGCTTGATGATGCGGGCATCTCTGAAGAAATTCGACTTATTTTGGGTCCCGATCCAAACCAGCAGAAAAAGTCAACATTTAATTTACACAAGGCTGTAGAGCCAATTTGGACTCATATTTTAGGTTTTGGCCTTCCTAAAGAAGAGTGTGATGAGCTCTTCAAAAAATACGAGCTCCCTATCAATTGTAAGTTTCTTACACCCCCTCGTATTAACCCAGAGGTCGAGGCCAACTTGAATACGCTTCATTCTACCAGGGACCAAACGCATTCACAATACCAATTTCGGCTGAGCAAGGCTTTAGCTGCCCTGGGCATTTCTTTGAATGTGATTTTGGAGGAGGAGGAGAATATTCCTAGAGCTTCCAAGGATAGAATTTTATCAAGTATCGCGGATTCTGGACGCTTGCTTTGTAGCCTTTTCAACGATATTTCCCTTAAGCGACGTCAACTTATTCTTCCTCTCATGAATAAACATATCAAGACTTTAGTGGAACAAATCCCTCCTGGAGATTTTTTATTCGGGCCCGATTTAGGTGACAAGATCCAAGCCATTAAGACTATGGAAAAGGTCGGAAAGGAGATTCGTGTACCCCAGCCCCTCTACAACAGATACCAACAGAATTCAGTTGCGTTTCAGAAAAAGAAGGGAGGGGGGGCAGAGAAGTCACATACAGCTACTAGTGGTCAGTTAAACCGGAGACGCCCGACCTACCGAAAGAGAGAGGTAAGGTCACAGAGAGGGCGACTCTCGATGCCCCAAAAATCATCAATACATCAGAAATACCGTTAATGGTAGGTAATAATTTGTTTTTAGCAGGCCGTCTGCAGTTTTTTAAAAATGTCTGGAAAACAGTGACCTCAAATCCCACAGTCTTGTCTTGGGTTGAAGGTTATAAAATACCTTTTTCCAAGACCCCTCCATTTTCGGATGGTCCAATTAAACATAGTTTTTCCGCCAGCGAAATTATCCTTTTGGACGCGGCTATCAAAGAGCTTCTAACCTTAGGAGCCGTTTCAAAATGTACTAGTTTACCGGACCATTTTGTTTCGCCAATCTTTTTAACAGAAAAATCTAACGGAAAAATGCGGTTTATTTTGAATCTTAAGAAACTAAATGTCCATGTTGTTGCTCCTCATTTTAAATTGGAGGATCACAGAACGGCTCAAGGGTTATTAAGAACAGGTTTATTCATGACAACGGTCGACCTCAAAGACGCTTATTTTTCCATCCCGATTCATCCAGATTATCGCAAATATTTAAGGTTTAGATTTGATAATCAATTGTACGAATTCACATGCGTCCCTTTTGGACTTTCAGTGGCGCCTTACTGTTTCACGAAACTGATGAAACCAGTAACGTCTACTTTACGTCAACAGGGCATCCTATGTGTTAACTATCTGGATGATTTTTTCATTCTTGGGGATTCTTTCAAACAATGTTCGGATAACACACATTTGCTGGTCGCTCTGTTGGAGTCTTTGGGTTTCTTTGTCAATAAGGAAAAGAGTTCTCTAACCCCCAGCAGATCGCAAAGATTTTTAGGCTTCATTTTTAATAGCACCGATATGAAAATTAGCCTTCCATTAGAAAAGAAGCTAAATATTAAAAATTGGGCTTCACTTTTTAAGAAAACTTCCACATGCAAAATTCGAGAATTTGCAAGGTTTATTGGTTTCCTAGTTGCAGCTTGTCCAGCTGTTAAATACGGCTGGCTCCATACTAAATCTTTGGAGCGACAAAAATTTCTTAGCTCTCTCTCAAAATGGCGGTGACTTTGGAGCGTCAATGTCTATTCCACTTTCCTTACTTCCGGATCTTCACTGGTGGGAAGAAATGATTTTAAACTCATTTAATAACATTAGAAACGACGTTTTTATTACTGAGATTTTTACTGACGCTTCCTTGTCAGGTTGGGGAGCATGTTGCGGCTCTGAGAAAACTCACGGCTTTTGGTCCGAATCAGAAAAGACACTTCATATAAACCTTTTAGAACTGAAGGCTGTTTTTTACGGTCTAAGATGTTTTGCAAATCTTCTTTCTAACTGTAATATTCTTCTACGATGCGACAACACCACCGCCATAGCTTACATTAACCGTATGGGCAGCGTTCGATTTCCAAAGCTCTCCAAGTTAACGAGAGAGATTTGGCAGTGGTGCGAAGTTAGGAATATTTGGATTTTTGCATCGTATATAAGCTCTGCAGACAATTTTGTAGCGGATCAAGAGTCCCGACAGATTTTCTCTGAAAATGAATGGTCATTGTCCCAAGAAGCCTTTTACCTTATAACCGACAATTTGGGAAAACCTGAGGTTGATCTTTTTGCTTCACATATTAATAACAAATGCGATAAATACGTTTCATGGCATAAAGACCCAGGATCCTTTGCTGTTGATGCATTTACCTTGAACTGGAAAGACTTAAATTTTTATGCGTTTCCTCCTTTTAACTTAGTTCTAAGGAGCCTACAAAAGATAATCCAAGACAAGGCCGAGGGCATGTTAGTGGTTCCCTTTTGGCCCTCTCAGGCCTGGTATCCACTCTTTTCCAGACTAATAATAGGGAAAAAGTTATATCTAAACCCTGCCCCTAATTTGTTGTCTTTGCCTTCTAGCAGCAATCATCCTCTGGCCTACCAACTTTCCCTGGTGGCCGCCAGATTATCCGGGAGTCTTTTTTAAGAAAAGGTGTCCCGGAGATTGCAGTGGAAACCACGATGGCGTCGATCGCGGAATCTACATTTAAACAATATAATTCAACCTACCGCCTTTGGTGGGCCTTTTGTCTGGCAGAGAAGACCCCAGTGTTTCAACCTTCGATCAAGGAGGTGGTGACCCTTCTACAAACAACTTCGGAGAAGCATAATACCAAATACGGAACTATTAATTGCCATAGATCGGCACTAAGCCTTATTTTAAATCAGGATCTAGGTTCAGATCCGATCATTAAAAGATTCATGAAAGGAATGTCTCGTTTAAGGCCTTCTCAACCAAGATATTCAAACACATGGGATCCTCAGTTGCTGCTGTCGTATTTCGAAGGTTTACCGAAGGAATTGAGCCTCCGAATGCTCTCTCAAAAGTTAATTACTCTATTGGCGCTTATTACTGGAGGTCGGCTTCAAACTCTTTCCCTGATTAGGCTCTCAAATATAAGTGAAAGTCAGGAGGAAATCCAGATTAATATCACGGATCCAATAAAAACATCAGGACTTAATAAGGAACAGCCCACGCTTCATATTCCGTTCTACAGTGAAAAGCCCAGTCTTTGCGTAGCGTCAACTTTAAAGAAGTATCTCGCAACAACAAAGCCCCTTAGAGCACCGAATCAAGACTTTTTGTTCGTCACAACTAAGAGACCTCATTCCACTGCATCTAAACAAACATTAAGCAAATGGGTTAAGCATGCCTTAGGCTCAGCTGGCATTGATACTTCAAGATTCAAACCTCATTCTACGAGGCACTCCTCTTCTTCAGCTGCTTTAAGACAAGGGGTTTCTTTAGAATCAATATGTAGAACCGTAGGATGGTCAGAGCAAACAGGGACGTTCGCTAAGTTCTACAATCGACCCCTTGGCGATAAAACTGCTTTTGCCAATGCAATCTTAAGGTTATCCAAACGACCTTGAATTATATATAAGTGTATCTACATACATTTAATTTATACTTACCTAAGCTTTACGAAGTTATTAACTTCGATTTGTTACGTTTTCCATTTAAAGTTTTTTTTTTCTAGAATTACTTTATTTTCTGACTTAGTTTACTGTAACAATGTATCTTTATAATACATTTTTTTCACAAGATTACCTGTGTGGGGTGTTCTTCTATTCGCAACTTTTTTTCTTTGAACATCTACATGGTAAATAATCAAGATAATATATTCGGACTGGACGCGAATATAATTATACGATTAAACGAACTTACCTAAGTGAAGTTCGATCGTAATTATATGAGGCGTCCAGTCCGAATATATTATCTTCCCGCCCTCCCGTTCGAAAGTACCCCAAGTTGCTCATAGTAAACACTTCTTTAAAGAATGAGTAACGGGTTTCCGGCGGTGGCCGCTTAGACGTGGTAAGGGGAAAAGGGAGTAAGTTTGCTTTCTTAGTTTATTATGGTGCACGCAGAGTAGCGCTGGGAGCGGACTACATGGTAAATAATCAAGATAATATATTCGGACTGGACGCCTCATATAATTACGATCGAACTTCACTTAGGTAAGTTCGTTTAATCGTATAATATAAAACACTTAAACGCTATCCACTTTTGCAAATACAAAAAATATTAGTGTGTATTGTTATGCTGTGACGCGTTCGTGTGTACACGTCACAGTACGTGGTGATTTACATTTTCTACTTGATTGATGTTAGTTTTTGAAATAGCAGATTAATCTATCAATTAGGTAATTTCTCCTTGTGCGTAATTTTGGGTAAATTACTACTTTTGGGTTACGATTGATTTGAATAAATAACACGCTTGGTAATTAACCAGTTATTTATGCAAACAGACCTATTAGTAACTACAGGTATTTAGTCCTTGTTTCTTGTAATAAAAACCGCGAACCACCGATAAAAGCCCTATTTTACTCTACTTTCATCTGCCATACTTCCCTTAACCTTATCACATGTTCTTTTTTTTCATTTATACGATCCATTAATAATTATATTAAAATACTAAATGAATTAATTAAGGAACTCGTTATTTTAATCTACTAGAAATATTGCAAAATAAATATAACATAATAATAGTAAATCCCCTAACTGAATGGATGGAAAATAATAATGCGAGGAGGTAATAATGATTTTATTTTGAGGAACTCTGAGGTTACATATTTTTACATTAATTGAATGTCATATTACTAATTTTAACGAATAATGGCATTATATATAACGTAAAAAAGATTTCGCTGTGGTATGAATAATAAATCGTGTGGACACTGGACATCGCTATAGAAGAGCACATAAATTGCAGTGAACAATTTTTTGAAAAATGTTATTAAAATTTATGCTATTTTTATCACCTTCTCGTTAGTAAGGTATTGCATTGGGTAGGAAATACACGTTTGGAGCACCATCAGGAATCCGAACGGGGCAAAATCTCGATGATGTCAATCGGTCTGTCTGTCTGTCCGTCTGTTTTCTCATTTCCGGTGAACGGCATAAAAGGGCAGAATCGCGCATGCGCAGGTGTGTATTTCAAATGTTACCATTATTAATCTAATTAAAAATTGTATGAAAAAACGTCGCAATTTTATTTTCGAACGATTGGCGTAAAGGTTTTCCTACGACGAACTGAGCTGTAATGTAGATAAATAAATTTCTCAAAAGTTGCACATTAAATTTAGACAGTGGACGGATCACACGTCGTTGTTTTAAGTAGGGTGTTCTAGTTTCTGTTCACTTTGTTTAAATCTAGAGTTAATTTTTTTCTTTACTTCATGTAACGTAAATTTAATTACGTGGTTTTATTTATTTACAAATTATCTAACAATAAATTTATAACAGTCTTAAAATGGATCGAAGTTGGAACTGAACTCACACGTGCCTCAGGTTGCTTATATATTAAATGGAACGTTTCTAGGAAAATAGAAAAGGTTTGCGAAATCGATCTGGATAGAACGTTTTAAGGAAGGAATGCGCCGCCTCAGCGTTTGTTATAATCTCCCCGATATAATTATAATTATACGATGGCGTACCGGTGTCTCGGATACTCGTTACAATACCCCCCTCTTAAAACTATTGCGTCTCGGGTCCGTTAACTTGCCCCCCCCCCCCACTGGGAGATTTCATAGTCGTATTATTTTGAAATGAATGCGCTCGTCCCGATAATAACTCTTGCGCCATTATCGTTCTTTAGAAATTCGAAAAAACATTTGGGGGGGGGGGCCAAGTGAACGTAGCCCCCCCAGTACGTATTTTGTCCCTTGTAACTAGGTCACCTGATACATTTGGTTATGCGCTCAATTGCGCCACTTGAATTAAAGGTAGCGCCATTACGGTTAAGCCGTGACAAATTTTCAAAAAGCGGGAGGCCAACTGAACGTTTTTAAAAGTTACTTTTTTTTAACATCTTTTCATAATTAAAGCTAGCGCCATTACGGTTAAGCCATAAAAAATGTTTAAAAAGTGAGGGGGGCTAACTTAACGTTTTCAAAAGTTACGTTTTTTAACATGTTTTTTCTACTACATCGTACCTTTCATCATGCGCTAAAATGCGCCGTAAACAAAAATCTTGGCGCCATTATAGTGTTTCAGAAACACCACACAGGGTGTTTTTTTGGGAGCTTTAGTTAAACGATTCTGGGAAAGTAAAATAGGTAGGTTTTTAAAAATTTGTATTTAGGAGTTACTCCGAAGGCCGAATCGATGTAAAATATTATTTCAAAATGGACGCACTTCCGGAAATAACTTTTGAAAACGCTAAGTTAGACCCTCCACTTTTTAAAATTTTGTATGGCTTAACCGTAATGGCGCTAGCTTTAATTCAAGTGGCGCAATTGAGCTCATAACCAGATGTATCAAGTGGCACAAATACCGGTAGCAAAATGCGTTATGGGGGATTCCGTTCACTTGGCCCCCCCCAAATATATTTAAGGATAACCAAAAAACAATAATGGCGCAAAGATATCTTTTTACGGCGCATTTCAGCGCATACCTGAGAGTACAATTTCGTATGAAAAGATGTTAAAAAAAAGTAACTTTTAAAAACGTTAAGTTGCCCCCCCCCCCCTTTTTTGAAAATTTGTCACGGCTTAACCGTAATGGCGCTAGCTTTAATTCAAGTGGCGCAATTGAGCGCATAACCAAATGTATCAGGTGACCTAGTTACAAGGGACAAAATACGTACGGGGGGGGGGGCTACGTTCACCCCCCCCCCAAATGTTTTTTCGGACTTCTAAAAAACGATAAGGGCGCAAGAGTTATTATCGGTGGCGCATATGAGCGCATAACGAGCGCATTCATTTCAAAATAATACGACTATGAAATCTCGCAGTGGGGGGACCAAGTTAACGGACCCTTGCGTCTCGCAACAAGGGCGACGGCTGTAGCGGTGATTCAGCCCTAGGCGACTCCGCTTTATAACGTGACCCTGATGACGGTACTTGTGCCACGACCTCTTCGTGCATCTTCCATTCACCATCTTACGAATCGATTGCGGAGTTCCTCTGGGGTTAAAGGAACAGATCAATATTTCCACGCCGGTGCCCCGGAATACCACCCCCAACACATGGCACACGATGCGCCCAAATCGGAACTTAAATTCTACAAATACCTTGGGACATCACATCTTTAGCTACGCAATGAGCCAAAACGTATTCGGCTGGTGCTTCAATCAAATCTTTAGATTCCCCACGGACAACCCCAAAGCGTGCCCTTTGCGTTCCAGAGTAATGTGCTATAAATTCATCGAACGTGTACTGTGGTGGTTTGGCTGCATTTGCTGCTTCCTTGCCGGGTCTTGTACCAAACTTCACACGGTAACCAAGATGTAGTTGTTACCAGCAGGGGCCTACGATATCAATGGTTATTCTTTCAAATGAACTACCTATATTGTATTGCCTCATTGGCGCTTTCTTCTTTCTTACTGCTCCGTTGCTTGTGGAAAACACTGCATGTTTTCTGCATCAGTAGAATCGTTTCCGCACTTTATCCGTTTTCGTCACTCCTAAATGTCCTCCCGATATATCATCGTGTATCTGTCGTGGTACTTCAGGCTTAATGCTCTCCACAGAGGTATTCTACATTTGTGGTCGCTCCATCACTCTCTTAAGAACATTTTCTAACTGCATCGAGTCCCACGGAGCCCAATACGCCTTTAAAACTGGACCCTATCGAGATACCTCTTTCCAGGTTGACCTTTTCTCTTCCATTTTCCAGTTTATCATTCATCATTGTCTTGAGCTGTCCTGAGTTCTGGTGGTTCCCCGTTATCATCCACAATGAACGATCTCGTAGCGTATCTGTTAACGTGAACAATTTCCGGTCGTCAGGTAGAAAATAAACGCATCGTTTTCGCGAAAGTACATTTTACCATTAATAAAAACGTAAGTGTACGGCAAAGAAAAAAACCTTCCCTTTTTTTGTAAAAGAAATCATTAAAAAGTTACACAAATTGACGAATATTCCTGGTCATTAAAACAACCCCCAACAGTTCATTCTCTCCAATTGCGATGCGATTCTAAGACAGCAACCATTTTCAGAACACTATTCTTGAACCGCTCGAGAAAAATCGGTGAGTGTGTGACTTTATCATCGGTGACTCACTCGCCCACCAAATTTCTTATCATCCCCTAATTTTACGAATAAAGATATACAGGAGAAGTGGAAGGCACGTACGGCTAATAGCACTGAATATTGGAAAAATTGGCCTAAAGTGTCAAGAATATATTTAATTGGCTCGACATGACGTCATACCCACACACTCCGACGTTCAAGAATAGGACCTTGATCTTCGATCCAGTTGACACCTGAGAGTTATAAGGAAGAGGTTCGCGAAGTATAGTTTCTTGAAATTAAAAATAACTGAACAATAAGAGCTATTACAAATAAACAAAGTTCAAACAAAAAAAGTATAACTTTCAAAACTAGTACAAATAACTGTTGTTAGTGACGAGATTTACACGTGCAACTTAAATTCATTGGGCCTTTTCTACTTGCGCCTTCAGTAATGCCTTCTCTTCTAATATAAGTTCTGCTAGCAGCTGCATTGCCTTATCAATTAACTTAGGATTTTCTCGGCAAAACGATGCTCTAATATAACTGCAGGTTTTCTGGGAATCTACCATGTACAGTCGACCAGGTGCAAATGTCACGCATTTCTTCTTCCCTCTAATTAATAACATATCCTGCACCTCAGGTATGTCACGTACTTTGATCCAGGCAAACATCCCACCATCGGGTACACTCCAATCGCACAATCCCTTCAAGTGAAGATCCATTGACTGTAACATCATATCCCGTCTTTTCTTATTGTCATCTCTCACTGATCTAAAATAGTTCAACGTTCCTTTAACGCCCCAACCGTTCAGCAGATTGTAAGTTATCACCTACAAAAATTCAAACACGAATGAATTAGGTTTTACACACCTACCTGCGTTAAGCTGGCCGAGCTTAGGTAGCAGTTTTCTATGCCCAACTCTAACACATCCGTAAGAGGCTTGGCGGCAGTAACCCACCCAATCCTGAGACCTGGACATAAAACCTTAGATAGCGAATCCAATCGAATGACGCGTCCTTCAATATCGAAGGACAAAAACGATGGTGGTGTTGGGTCCTTGTAGTTCATGAAGCAGTAAGGATCGTCTTCTAGGATCAAAATGTTGTAATCGCAACAGATGCGGTAAATTTCTTGTCGTCGATCTAATGGTAGTGTTGTCCCCACTGGATTTGCTCCTAAAGGTATTCACTTGCAAAAACATCTTCAACTCTTTGTCATACCTGTTGGATTAATATAAAGGATCTTTGGCATTTTTAATTGTCGGTCCAGTAGGCATTCTTTCTTTCGTTGATTTAGAGCTTGCCGGAGAAAGTCCGGTACCATTCCGTTTCCATCTTGATTTATTGGTATAAGAGTTGATTGGAATGGCGCCAACTGTCAAGGGAATTTCACTACAAAAACGCAATTTTTAAAGGACACTTACAACAACAGCTATTCCTGAATAAAGTGGATTCTGTACAAGTATTGGATCACCTTCTTCTAGACACATCTCAAGAACCTTACTCATCGCGTCTTGTGATCCCACAGTTACCAAAACGTCCCTTTGGGACCATGACGGAGGTTGATGAATTTGTTGCGTAAAGTCCTTTAATGTTGATATTAATAGTGGATAACCCTTTCTGGGAATGTAATGCAAAGATGTTGCCAGTTGTGCTCCTTCTAAACGATAACTGGTACCGTCCTTCAATAAAACGCTTATTTCTTTAAAGGGAAAGTTTGCATCGTTAGGGCATCCTTCAGCTAATTTTATTGATTTTTCAGAGGTCGCATCGCACGTGTCCACTTTAAGAAATGTTAGATTTGATCATTATTGCAACAAATGCTTACCTACCTAAGGAAGGTGGAAGGAATGGTCGTCTTCGAAATGAAAGTGGATTTATAAAGTAAGTGAAATCAATGTGTAAGTTCTCCATGGAATCACTACAATTCGTTCCTTGCAAATAAATACAACTGGCGAATTTGAGTAAACCTACACATATTTACCACGTGTGCTATCATAATGCATACATACAGCCAAAAAAGTAACGTGGATAACTTAACTTATTTACACGTAAGATTAGATACACTTTTTGCGAAACAGCTCTGGTTGTGAAATACCTGCGATTTAAGGCAGTGGTAATTCTGTAAATTCAATTTGATTTTTAGTTCCATTATATGGTTCATTATTGGGCTTCACGAAGGCGGTCCAAAATCCCATTTATGAACGGTAACGAGTAGGCATCTTTAATAGTAACTCAAAGGGTTGTAACTTGGTATGGAGCAATTCTTGTAACTCGGTTTCTTCGACGACCGTTAACGGTTTTAAGACGGAGCAAGGTAGAGATTGCCGAGCAATAGGGCTAACTTGTGCTTATCGGGGCCAAAGTTGTATTCGGAGCTAAAATTAATAGCTGAGGCGACCTGGTGCCTTCAAGGAGAAAACGGATGTATCTTCAAATGCAAAATTTTCCAAAATGGCATGAAGCCAAAACAATGAGGAAATAGAACTCGGACGAAGTCCGCTGGAACACAATTACACAACCACGGCCAGTTATATTCATTTAATCGGCCGCACCAAAACCCCCAAATTCGGCAACCCAGCAATACCCACCGCCACATGGAACCTCGTGTCAACCCAGGGGTCAACCGCAAAAGGTCCGCCATAATCAAACTGCGCGACCTTGCAGTTTTAATTGTCGTTGTCAACATTGAGAAACTAAAATCAGTTACTAATGAATGAAGGAAACTTAAATCATAAAATGTTAATTATTCTCTGGTCTTCCAAAGGACGAGAGCTTTAGGGGGCTGCAAGGATAATTAAAATATCTCTACCCGAAGAATTAGAAAACTGAAAAATTATGTTCGGCAGCTGGTTTTCTTACTAGCGGTTAAATAGGCTCTACAAATTGAAACATTACTTTTACCTTCTATTTTTCACTCCTAGAAAAGATATGCATGGGTCCGCTACTACACTTTCTCGTAAAGAAGTGCCCTGTGGAAAATTCCGTGAATAATTTCCAGGGTAGCGAAAAAAGTAGTAACTATTAGCGTAGTAACAAAAACATTCCAATCTAAAAATCTTTTTAGAAACTTTAAAATGAATCAGTATAATTCGAAGAAGCAGAAGATTCCGAAAATAGTAAAAATGTGAAGAACTAGATAATGTGGGAATCAGAAAAATCCGTTTGAAAAATCCAACAAAATTGAAAAAACTATCGAACAGGACGAATATGAAGCTAAAAATAGAATGGAACCGAGGCAGTGAAAAATCCGGGTAATATAAACAAATTGGAGAATCAGTCCTATCGAAAAGAACCCAAAAAAAGTCTGATTATTTAAAAAAATAAGGGACTTCAAAGAATTGGAAAAATTTGAAGCATTTGCTGTAATAGGAGAATTTTAAATAGGTATTCGAATAATCCCAAGAATCTAAATCATTGATTTCTTAATAAAGGAGAAAGTATCAGGTCTGCAAATAGAATATTTCAAACTGCCATGGAACCAAAACTTATTTAAAATAGTAATATAGGTCACTCCAAATTGATGGGATCTGAGGCCACAATTTTTTTAATGGTTATCCGTCACTATATTCAAAACTCTGTTTTTAGTGTAGTGTAATTCCCAAAGCCTGGCTGTGTTGGGCCGTTTGTAATCTTACACAGTTGAAATTTCGAATTTTCTTGTTTGTTCTCTTAGAATTTTGCAGAAACTAAAGGTTCAAAAATTACAAGTACAATTACAAGTACAAAAAGTTGATTAAATACTTAACTAGATTCAAAGTAAAAAAAAAAAATTTTTATTAGTGACAAGATTTTTATGATGTATAATCATTTTAAGTGAAATGCCTTCTCTTCTATTATAAGTTCTGCTAGCAACTGCATTCCCTTATCAATTAACTTAGGATCTTCTCGGCAAAACGAAGCTCTAATATAATTGCATGCTTTCTGGGAATCTACCATGTACAGTTGACCAGGCGCAAAAGTCACGCACTTCTTCTTCCCTCTAATTAATAACATATCCTGTACATCAGGTATATCGCGTACTTTGATCCAGGCGTACATCCCCCCATCGGGTACAGTCCAATCGCACAATCCCTTCAGATGACGATCCATTGCAAGCAACATTATATCCCGTCTTTTCCTATTGTCATCTCGCACTGATCTAAAATATTTCAACGTTCCTTTAAGGCCCCAACCGTTCAGCAGGTTGTAAGTTATCACCTACAAAGATTCAATTACACAGGAATTAGTTTTTACGCACGTACCTGCGTTAAGCTGACCGAGCATAAGTAGCAGTTTTCTATGCACAACTCTAACACGTCAATGAGAGGCTTAGCGGCAGTAACCCACCCAATTCTGAGACCTGGACATAATATCTTAGAAAACGAATCCATTCGGATGACGCGTCCTTCGGTATCGAAGGACAAAAACGATGGTGGTGTTGGATCCTTGTAGTTCATGAAGCAGTAAGGATCGTCTTCTAGGACCAAAATGTTGTATTCGCAACAAATGCGGTAAATTTCTTGTCGTCGATCTAATGGTAGTGTTGTCCCCACTGGATTTGCTCCTAAGGTACATATTTACTAGCAAAAACATCTTCAACCCTTTGTCATACCCGTTGGATTAATGTAAAGGATCTTTGGCATTTTTAATTGTCTATCCAGTAGGCATTCTTCCTTTCGTTGTACTAGAGCTTGTTGGAGAAGGTCCGGTACCATTCCGTTTGCGTCTTGGTTTATTGGTATAAGAGTTAATTGGAATGGCGCCAACTGTTAAGGGACTTTCGCTACACAAACGAAATGTTTAAAGGACACTTACCACAACAGCTATCCCGGAATAAAGTGGATTCTGTACGAGTATTGGATCACCTTCTTCCAGACACATCTCAAGAACTTTACTCATCGCCTCTTGTGATCCCACAGTTACCAAAACGTCTCTTTGAGACCAGTACGGGGGTTGATGAATTTGCTGTGTAAAGTCCTTTAGAGTTGATACTAACGGTGGGTAACCCTTTGTGGGAATGTAATGCAGAGATGTTGCCAGTTGTTCCCCTTCCAAACGATAACTTGTGCCGTCCTTCAATAAAACACTTATTTCTTTAAACGGAAAGTTTGCATCGTTAGGGAATCCTTCAGCTAATTTTATTGATTTTTCCGAGGTCGTATCGCACGCGTCCACTTTAAGAAATGTTAGATTTGATCAAAATTGCAAAAAAAAATGCTTACCTAAGGAAGGTGGAAGGAATGGTCGTCTACGTAATGAAGGTGGATTTATAAAGTAAGTAAAATCAATCTCAAAATTCTCCATTGGATCAATAAAACTCGTTCCTTGCACCTGACTAATTTGATTGTACTCGTGTTTACCACGTCTGTTATTGCAAAGTGACTGACTGCGATTAGGTGATACTGTGGTAACCTTGCTAATGCAATTTGATTTTGACGTTCATTGTGTGGTTCATATGCAAATTGTTAAATCATCATCATAGAGGTACGAACGCGAAATGGATGCTGACAATGTATTTATTTGTTGCTTTGTTACGAATGTATTCACATGGCACTATTATTTTCATTATTTACTTTCAGGTCACCTTCAATTCTTCAATAGTGAGTGCCGGTTTGCTGTGTGGCCTTTCGATGAAGAACATTTCATGTGCTCCAGAATTAAGAGAAGTGCCTACAGCGCCTCGTAAAGGATTAACCAGCAACTACGTGCGAGAAGATCATGCGAGAGCACATTTACAATATCATTTCATCATTGAGTAATTAACTAAACCTTCACTCAACGTGTGATGACACCAGATTTACATTTTGTAATTTGGGATTGAGAAATTCAGAAATTTAGTGACTCGTTTAAATGGCTATTAATTATGTCGAAATTGTCATTCAGCATTTGTGCACTTTTATATCCAAAGTCCAATGCACGTCTTTAACCGATAATAATTAGGTTAAGTTAAGAAGTAATGATTTGGTAGGTAGTCTAATAAATAATTAGAAAAGAGGAGCAATAAATTTTGGTATGAGAAGAATGAGTTTATTACTAACGATTTCATAGCCAATATGATCTATTATTCCTCTCTATTCCGGGCAACTGCATTCTAGGTATGGGAGTCAAACGACTATGCCTGTCATGGATTGCAGGTTGGCTCCTCTTGCGCTCCACGTATTATAGTAGTGCGATGTTTACCATTGGATTGAATGACTGTCACGCCTGTGTGAGCACTGGCGTCCCAAGAGGGGGGCAAGGGGGCAATTTGCCCCCTCCGATTGTCCCCTCCGCCTTTGGACTGCTTACGCCTTTAGCGTCTTGTAGGTGGTAAAAAATGAGTTAGACATCTAAATTTTATTATGTATACATACCTACCGCCTTCTGCTTTAAAGAAATTCTACGATATATTTATTTAGATAACACCCATGACCCATTAAACACTTAGCAAATGGCACCGCGCCCCCGCCCATCCAAACTTACTGCCCCCTCTGCTGTCACAAGCCGGGTACGCCACTGTATGTGAGCTACTATTTATAACAATGAGCAATATAAAAATATTGGGAAATTTTCCACTGGACAATCAATCTCCATTATTCCTTCGGGAAAATTTCAGTGTAAAACCAATCTAGCGATACTTGGGAAATCGAAAGGTGTAATAGGATGCTAATATTTTGAGATGTAATAACAACTCTGTTGTGTTTTGGACAACCAGATTATTCTAAAAAAGGACGAGGAATTATTTGTCCTCTTAAAAATGGCATACTCACTGATTTCTCATATGGATTGGCTAGTACCGAAGTGGAACTTGAAATAAGATGTGGAATAATATATGCACTTTCCCAGTAGTGGGAGTGGGCACCAGAATGAAAGGTAACTCCTTGAGAATCGATAACACCAATGAAGAAAGAAGAAAGTTTGCTCTGGAAAATTCGTCTCGATACATTCCTCTTAAAAAATTCCCCGTGCATTATTCTCACTCCCTGAAGTATTCGTGCTAGGAATACCCTGCAAAATTCATCCACGAGAAAACTTTGCTCCCTTGGATTACTTGCTCGCCAGAAACTTGTTTCAAGGGAAAGTGTGTGTATGAAGAACACCTCGACCCCATAGTATCTAAAAACCTTGGCCTGAAAAAAAGTACTATGTGGACCAGAAAACTCAACCCTTTCCTTTTATTAGTTTTTCTGAATGCAAGCGTTAGCTATATTTAGAATACTGATTTCCTTTAACAATGTCTATGAAATTGCACAAAAACCTATTACTTCGTGCCGTGTAAATTTACTCCCAGGAAGACTCGTCTCCAAGGAAAAATCGCTACCGTTAGAGTGCTCGGGCGCCGTGAACTCGCTTCAAAGGAAAATGTACCTTCAACAATACCATAAAAAATTTGCCTCCTTATAAATTTATTCTTGTAACATTTTCCTCTAGATCACGCACCGTGCACCAGAAAATTGCTCCAGGGAAATGTTCGTTTACAAAAGCTCGACGCAAAAAATGCACATTAAGCGAAGCTCACCCTGCTCACTTCTGCTAAAATTCAACATGGTATAGATTGCCGCCTGGAAGATTCGCCATCCTTATTTTTCGATATCAAGGAAAATTCACCACTAAAAACAATTCCTATCATCTACAGAAATTTTTCCATGGAAATTACGCTCTACCTAAAGATAGGAACACCTCCACCGCAATACTCGTTCACTAGGAACGTTCAGAAAGCTCTACATTGCGAAAAGCACTATTGGAAAATAAATGTCACAGTAGCTGAAACAAGTTTTTGATTTTTGTATACGAGTTTCTGAATAGCAAAGACCAATGTTTAATTCTCTCTATGTTGACGTGGGGGCATTTTTTTACTTTACATGAAATATTCTCACAAAGTCGCTCCACGTTTTCATCGCTGACTGCTCCGTCGTTTTACGGACAGGTATTCTAGGTAGGTAATGCAGGAAATTTACTTTCAGGGACGTGCTGCACTCTACTTTCTAAAACTCAGTTAGATCCTATACAAGCTGTTTGAAGTTGTTAGCTCTAGCGATTTCAAGAGAATTATTGTTTCTAGACTTTTGAAAGAGTTTTAAACCAACTATTTATTTCCTCGGATGCCTGTTGCCCTGAACTACGTTTCTGTCAACAAACGCACCCTCGAGATTAACCCTAGTTTACTGGCCACTAAAACTTTCAAGTTTACGGGCGTGGGGTGGAACGCACCCCAGATAGAAAAGACTAAACTTGAAAGGTACTCGAGCTCCCAGGCCAAAATATTGAAAGAAAAAAAACTTATGGACATTGAAAGTGTCTGTGGGGTGCGATCCACCCCAGACCTGTAAACTTGAAAGTTTTTCTAAAAGTAGTGATAAAATAAAAACTCAAATCCTAAGAACGCCAAAAACGCCAAAAACGATAGAAAAGACTAAACTTGGAAGGTACTCGAGCTCCCAGGCCAAAATATTGAAAGAAAAAAACTTATGGACATTGAAAGTGTCTGTGGGGTGCGATCCACGCCAGACCTGTAAACTTGAAAGTTTGTTTAAAAGTAGTGATAAAATAAAAACTCAAATCCTAACAACGCCAAAAACGATAGAAAAGACTAAACTTGGAAGGTACTCGAGCTCCCAGGCCAAACTATTGAAAGAAAAAAAACTTATAGACATTGAAAGTAGCTGTGGGGTGCGATCCACCCCAGACCTGTAAATTAGGGTTAAAACACACACTTTTGTCCCTTGGTATATAATATATACTATTAGATGATGGAGGTTTGAAATTAGTGTTTGGACATTTGTCATATTTTGTTTGACTTCCAATCCAAATTTCCTATCAAAACGTAATGACATGGAATCAGAAACGAAGGATCACAATGAATCACAATTTCTCAATGTACTTACAAGGAAACATACCAAACATAACAATGTACGTCACAGAAGCGCTCAACAAATTATTTTGCAGTTTGTCGACGTATTATTTTTTTCTTTCAATTTCAACACTGATAACGTTTCTAAGAATAAATATCGATGATAAGATCTAGTATTATTTCTCAAACCTTTGGGGGCGTGTTCTTTTTGGTGATATGACGATGAGAATAATTCGTTGCAGGTCAAATATTGCTATTGACTAATTGTTTGTTTCTACGCAGAACACATCACACCATCCTAAATTGAACAAACCTTTCTATGACGCACAGACCGCTCAGTTATCAAATTTCAAGTTTACAAATTGCGTTTATAAAAGTTATGGATTTTATAACGGCTCGGTCAAAAGAAAATGCAAATTGTTAATATAGATTGGAATAAACGGCACCTGTCTGAATCTGCGTTTTTAATTGCGGACCATCCATTTCCATTAATATTGATGCACGAAACGGGCGAAACTGGATGTGGAACAACTTGTGTCAGTCTATAACCAACCACCTAGGGTGTCCTAACTTCTGCACGCAGATATAAATAAGACTGTTCAAACTGCAGTTCCTTCGGCAATAGAGAAGGTTTTGACTTCGACTGCATCAACCTTTTTTTAATTTCTTTGAACAAAATTCCACACACCTAATGAATGCAATGAGTTTTCTTATGCTATTTTGGTCCTCTTTCAGTACTCCTTTCATATTTCTTTCTAAGCCTTGCTTTGTCTTCGATTTTCGTGCACGGGGAAGTCCAAAAGTATATGCTGTACTGTATACAGGGTGTTTTTTTGGGAGCTTTAGTTAAACGTTTCTGGGAAAGTAAAATAGGTAGGTTTTTGAAAATTTATACTTAGGAGTTACTCTGAAGACCGAATCGATGTAAAATATTTTCAAAATGGCCACCCTTCCGGAAACACCGGAAGTAGATAGTAACTTCGTTATATTAAATGGCAACCCCTATTTTTTATTCCATTTTTGGATTCTACGTAAAATTTCAGTTCTTTTGATACCCACATGTCCATATCTGCCATTTATGGTTTTTAAGTTATTTTGACTTTATGAAAAAAAATGGCGGATGCAGATGGTACCTTGATAATTGATTACTTGAAAATGGTTATAGTCATGGCAACCCATTTTTATCATTGCATAGAGAATGAATGGGGCTTTCTTTTAGTGTACTTAAAAAAAATTAAGTTGCGTATAATCGCACCTATGGAGATCCAAATTTAAGAAACTTCAAAGTCCAAAAACTCAGTTTTTTTTAAATGGAATGACCATGTTCTTCCTATTGCATGAGATAGAGAATCGAAATTGGAATATTTTGATATTACATGTTCCTATAGCTATCTTTAACATTTTCTGATTTATTCCCATTTCATTGAATTGATGCCATTTTTTTTGCATTTTCATTTTAGTAGTTGGCCATGATTTTATAACAATCGAATTTTAAACAAATCAAGAAAAGGATTTTTAATATCATTGATTCTAGTCTAAATAATTCATTAATAAATAAGTCATTTATTAAGGATATA